GACCACATTTTAAAAAACGATATATCGAAAAATCGATTTTTTTGCCCAGCCCTATTATTTATGTGTTTATATATGTGTTTTTTTTTAAAGCAACATTTCCCAAAGAACATAAGCACCCAGACAGTGTCTGTGACATGTAAATGTGTCTGTCACTCTTCTCCAGGTGGCATTAGCTGTGCTACATGCAAACATGGATCAGCTGCTGTCCTGTTCAGATGAGGGAGAGGCCATGACTATTCTGGGCAGGTGAGTGTGCCTAATACAACATCATACAGTTCATAGTTTACATGACGACTAAAGAGTGAATGCAATATGAAGGCAGTATTAATTTTTGAGTTTTTAGATGGCATTAGCCCAAAGCAATTAATGTGTTTTTTTTTCTTTTAGATTCAGTTTTAACCCTATAAAGCCTACTGTATAATATTTGATACACAAAAAAAGTCTCTTAAATGTTCAACATGATCAAAACTTTGCTGAAAAAGCTGTCACACACAATCTACTACAGGCCTTCTGTCGTCTGATTGATAGTTCAGAACATTTACTGGACTGAAGTGATTATAGCTTTTATTATCCAAACATCATAAAAAAAAAAAAGGCAGTATCAAATAAAATCATCAGGCTTTTGAGAAACGTTTACATGTTCATCTCTCAATCGTCATTGTATTGCTTTGCATTATGTTTTGATAATCAAACAAAGCATTTAAATATCATCTTACTAAGACACATTATTGGAGATATTGAGTGATGACTGATATTTATATCATTTATCTATACTGTTATAAAGATCTCATTGATTTACATTACAAGCATCAGAATTTCATCTTACTTTTTGGTCATATAAATAGCATATGCACCAAATTTATTTATTTTATTTTTTTTGCTCATTTTGGGCCTATGAATAAGATTGAGCTGTTTTTTCTCCATATTCTCACTATCAGACTGAGCCATAAAACCCTAATGGACCAGATATGTTACTTAAAAAAAAAAAACACACAAAAAAAAAGGCAAACATTAGGCTTTACAGGGTTAAGCTGCCAAGAGGAGTGTGGTAAGTGTGTGTTCATCAAAAGGTCTTATTTCACAATTTAAAATCTCCACATGTGATCATTTATGCTTTATTGTGTAATATTTAGGTGAGAGCGATCATGACAGAGTCCGCTTTCAGTATTGAGGAGTTGGAAGAATTGTATGTTCTTTTTAAGGTAAGATAAATGCGTAAGTTTGTTTGTTTGTTTGTTTTATTTATTTAGTTGTTTATTTAGTATTATTATTAAATATTAATTTAATAATATTAAATAATGTATTATTATTATTATTACATATTTATTTGCTTTTTTTATATTTATTTATTATTTTATTTATTTTGCATCGAAAGGTGTTTTATCTGATCTGTCACCTAAACTAAAGGAACCACTTGCTGTCAGTGTATTTGTGTACATTATAGATGGTACCACCAAACATTTTATTAATTAATTTATTATTTAATAATATTTTTAAAGTAATGTATCATCATTATTACATAATTTTTTTTGTCCGTTCATTTGTTTTTAATTTGACTGATTTTGTTTGTAAATGTGTTTTATTCTGATCTGTGTTCTTCCTAACACTTTACTGCTCTATTAAAACTAAAGAGAAACCATTAGTTGGTGTATTTGTGTACATTATAGTTGGTCAGTTAGTCAGATCTTGGTAACAATATATATATATATATATATTTATTAGATGGAAATGTAACTAAAATGGACTATATATTAAATAACCATGTGGTAATGCTTTTTTAATGAACCAGTGATTAAATATTTTACAGAAAGGTGCTTTTCATTTGGTGATTTTCTTGAAGCAGTCTAATTGGATGATTGTATAGTTGCATGCATTTGTCGTATATGTCTACAGTACCTACTGTCATGCCATCCAGCTCTAGATATTGTTTGTGTAATTGTGTGAATGCTAGTGTATTTATGTGTGTCTGTCCCAGGCGAAGCACATCATGAGTTGTTACTGGGGTGCGAGTAGCACCGCGGCGGAGCGGCACGACCCGAGTCTGCCGTATCTGGAGCAGTATCGCATCGACAGCGGCCAGTTCACTCAGCTCTTCTCCGCTCTGGCACCCTGGAGCTGCGGCCTTCACACCAACACGCTCTCCAGCCGACTCTTCCGCCTGCTCGACCAAAACAAAGACTCTCTCATCAACTTCAAAGAGTTTGTCACCGGACTCAGTGAGTGGATGCATTTACACCACAGCTTGTAGATTGATAGAGTCAGAGTTTGATTACAGCTTCAGATAAGAGCCCAACAATCAGAGACCTCAAAACCCTCTCCATAGGGTTCAGTTCAACCATTGAAATGCGTCATTGGGTAAAAAATTTTTTTTGCATCATACACTAACCATACAGAACCCTTTCAGTATATATTGAAAGTTCAATTATGATGTCACACAGAACAGAATACAGAATGAATAATAAACACCTGTCAGAGAGACTCGAAAGCAAATTTGGCATTAATGTCACTCATGCCCACATATTGAGTATTCTTAATAAATGATATAAAATTAGATTTTATTGCATCCTTGGACTAATTTCATAATCCTTTGTCTTGTAACTTGTGAGAATGAAAGTGTTAGGTGATATTTTGATAGCTTTCGAGTTGGCAAGTTTGATTTATTTTTTATGAATCGATGTGTCTGTTTCAGTGAATTGATTCACTCTTGATTCAGAGATTCATTTGCATGATCAATATACACTACCGTTCAAAAGTTTGGGGCCTGTGAGATTTTTAAAAATGTTTTTGAAAGAAGACTCTTATTGCTCACAAAGGCTACATTTATTGGATCAAAAATACAGTAATACTGTGAAATATTGTGACAATTTAAAATAATAATTTTCTACTTGAATATATGTTAAAATGTCATTTATTCCTGTGATCAAAGCTGAATTTTCAGCATCATAACTCCAGTCTTCAGTGTCACATGATCCTTCAGAAATCATTCTAATATGCTGATTTGCTGCTCAAGAAAAATTTTTATTATCATTGTTGAAAACTGTTTTGCTGCTTCATTTTTTTATTTTAATTTTTCTCAGGATTTTTAAAAAATGAATTCAGGATTCAAAAGATCAGCATTTATTTTAATTAGAACAACCGACAGATAGTTTTGTAACATTGTAACATTGTGTCTTTATGGTCACTTTAATGCATCACTATTCAGCTTTGCTTTGCATGTTTATTACTATGCATGTATTGTTATATTGGTGCATGTGAATGAAAATGATGAAATAGCGTTCTATTCATATAGTTATAAACTGTGAAAAATAGATTTTTGCTGTTTTAGTTATTATATTAAACATTTTGAATCTACTTTGCAACCCTGTTTGGTGGAAATAATATATTAGAAATATATTTATAGAAAATAAAAGGTCAAATTATTGAGGGATAATTCAAGTTAGTCTGCATGTATTGTGTAACAACAACTTAAAGCAAAGAAGTAACTGTTCTAAGCTTCTCGATATCTTCATCATAACAGTTTTTGGTTTGTTTTTGTCTCTCAGGTGGAATGTATCATGGCGATATGACGGAAAAACTCAAACTTCTCTACAAACTCCCGGCTGAATTACAGTACTACTGATAGAGCTTCACTTGTATTCAACTTGTATTTCTTCAGCAGTATATGAGAGAATATTCTATTTATTCCAAACAAATGTAATTGTTATTAATACTCTCTTTTAGTTTTCGGAATGGTTTATTTTTAATGAACATGCTTTGACTTTTCTGATCTCCCTGCATGTGCCTATGGATGGTTTGGTCCAGGCTTACTGACTGATAACTAATTATTAATCTTCTGCACTCTTATTTTCCTCATTTTATGCCCTCCCCCCCAAAAAAAATATTCTCTCTTTTAACTCTAACACTTTCTTTCTCTCATTCTCTCTCCCCCTCTCTTTCTTTCTTTCTCATCTGATCAGATCCTCCCTTCCTGTCTCATCTGGACTTCCTGGCACAGGAAGTGACCTCAGGTTTGTGTCTGTCTATCATTCCGAGTGCATTCTCTGTCTCTCTGGTGTTTGGGGCATCAGATGATGCTGTCTGTGCAGATGACTTTTTTTTTTCTCCTCTGTTGGTTTTGGTGTTTTCCAGTCTTTTTCACCATCTGTCTTTCACATGATATCGTCTTACCTTTGTGGTGTTCTTTTCATTTTTAACCATGGGTTTGATGTCATGAAACCTTTCTGGTGAACTCTTTTAAGTGGTTAATGGTTAAATGTCGTTTTGATGTCAGTGTTTATTAATGCAGCATTAATGTCGTAACAGGTGAGGAGCTGAAGGAGGCAGGAGACGCATCAGCGGCCGGAGACACAGATGAGAGAAAAGGTGATAATACTCGGCTTTTGATGACTCCGCTAAGGAATCTGTTTAATCTGGTTATTTCTTTAATGGCAATGTCGTGTGTTTTTCAGAGGAGAAGCCGAAGGACTATAAGTACTATCTGAGAATGTGGGCCAAAGAAAAAGAGCCAAAGAAGGAGAGTATCAAAGATCTGCCTCGGATGAATCAGGTGACCAGTATACACTGATCTCGCTCTCATTTGTTGGGAAAGAAATTTAGGCTACTGTATGTTCACATTGCAACTGAATGTGGCCTAAATCAGATTTTCCACTGACAAATAAGCAGATGCATATCTGATGTTTGTGCAGTGATTTCAATGTGTGAACAATCAGATCTGATTTCAACTTTTTACCTGTCATAACTGCATGCTTTATTTACCCTCGGCGTGAACCGTAAAGTGATTTATGAATTGCATTGTATGAAGTGTTGCACAGAAAGCTGCAAAAATATATGTTGATGTGCATTTTATTTTTTGGAAAATCATGAAGAAATTAAATTCTAATGTGGAGAGTTAAAACCCAAAGTCCAAAGCTGTTCTTGTTCTATAATAAAAAGTGCATTTCAATTTGAAAGTGGATACATTATTATTAATGTTATATTATATAATTAATATTATTATTCTAATAAATCCAGCCAGATTGTGGATTCTGAAAGTACTTTTTATATGTACCATATGTTCTTTTGGTACATTTTTTCATATGTATGTATTTGTGCATTACGTCTATGCCCTGCGCTTACACAGTTAAAATTAAGTATTCAGATTCAGAGGTTTACATGCATAATATTTTCCTATTTAACTAATTAACATGTGTATCACTCCTTTTATTGGATTATTAATTACTTGTGCTGTCAAACGATTAATCGCATACAAAATAGAAGTTTTTGTTTGCATAATATATGGTGTGTGTTCAGTGTATATTTATTATGTATATATAAATACACATACAGTATATATTTTGAAAATATTTACATGTATTTACATGTTTATGTTTATATTCATAAAATGTATATTATAAATAAATATATTTAATATATAAACATTTCTGAAATCTATACATGCATGTGTGTGTATTTATATATACATAATAAATATAAACAGCATACGTACATATATTATGTAAACAAAAACTTTTATTTTGGATGCGATTAATCGTTTGACAGCACTATTAATTACTTAATTTATTAACTTATACTTTATATGCTAAAAAATGATATCATACTTTGAAATTACCATGATTTTGCTCTTAAATCATTTTAACAATTATTAAACTGTAAAGTTATTTACGAAATGCACTGTATGAAGGATTGAGTATTAGATCTATATATATATACTGTGTATATGTGTGTATATATATATATACAGTGGGTACGGAAAGTATTCAGACCCCCTTAAATTTTTCACTCTATATATAAACCTTCAAAAATTTAAATTCATTGGGCTGTGTGTATGTATGCATGCATGTGTACACAACACATTTTAATTTGATTTAAAATCATATCAAATCAGGATTAAGTTATTAAGTAGCATCCTAGTATTGCAGTGTTTTTTCAACCTATTGGAACAGAACATAAGTATTAAGACTACAACACATTTTTGTGTGGTCATTCAATTACAGGAGCAGTTCATTGAGATGTGTAAGACTCTCTACAACATGTTCAGTGAAGATCCCATGGAGCAGGAGCTGTATCACGGCATCGCCACGGTGGCGAGTCTCCTGCTGCGCATCGGAGAAGTGGGTAAGAAATTCACCAACAACGGCAGCCAGAAAACCGAAGTCCAGCTGCCCTCAGCAGTCGACGCTCTGCAGCCGGAGAGGGAGGACTCGTCCGGGGAGGGAGGATCAGGACAGTCCTTGGTCTCCAAGGCCCTGGCGGAGGCGCAGCTGGAGACACCACCTGCAACAGCGGCCGGCTCCGACGAAGAGGCCAAAGATGACACGTCCGTTTCGTCCTACTCTGTAGTGAGTGCTGGTTCGCTGCAGTGCGAGGACATCGCCGACGACACGGTGCTGATTGGCTGCGCGAGCGGAGACGTGGTGGATCGGAGGCGGGGCAGTGTGCCGGATGCCGATTGGTCGATCACCTTTGAGCAGGTTTTAGCATCGTTCCTGACAGAAACATCGCTGGTCGACTACTTTGAGAAAAAACATGACATCCAGAGCAAAATAACAGCATGCAAGTCACTGAGAGCCGTGGAAAGACAGACAAGTACGTCAAGCGATCACGATTTCTCTCTGAACACACACTGACAGGCTCATAAAAACATGCATGAAAACAAACACACAAATACAAAACAAGAATATGTGTATGTATGTCCGGTTATTATCTATAGGAGTTTGATACTTCTGTGTCATAGTCAAACAAATAGTGTTTAATTCAATACCAGTAACCTCTGGAGTTTAGATGTAATAACCACGTTTCACTCTAGCATAGGGGTTTTGATGGGTTGAAAGCGTCAACTAGCAGGTCTGGAATAGAGGATTATGGGATATGGCATGCTTCGGCTCATACAGATCAAAGAATGAAACATCACACTAAAAATATTTGATTTGCACACTGAAATATCCCACACTACAGTGTACATGACTAATGCTTTCTTGCACGCGTGCTATAGCTGGATATATTCTGTGTATTCAGGAGTAAGAAGTGCCCTTTCGGTGAAGAATCCAACTCATAGCTCTGCTCAGATTCACTTCAACCCCTCAGATGGAAACAGTCTCTTAGCTTTGGTTCAAAGCCATGTTTCTCTGTGTTAAAAATCAGCTTTACCGTTTTTAAGTAGGTCATTGCCTTACTGAAGTGAACAGATGCATCGTTTGTTCGAAGACAGCGTTGCACGTGTTTGTTGTGGTGTTTTGCGAGGACAGCGCCATAGTTATGTTCTGTCAGATGTTTGGTCACCAGAAGCTACACAAGCGGTACAGCGCTGGCTTATCTTAGCCGTCCAAACCATAATGAGAGATGCAGTCAAAAATGTAGCCGATTAATTTAGCACAATAATGGCCTTTACCACATAAAGCAGGAATTTTTTCTCTTTTATTCTCCAAAAATGTTTTTTGCTGTCAGGCCAGAATAAGCATGTACAATCACTGGGCTTCGTTCATGAAACTCAAGCAGAGCGAATTTGGCATTTGTACATGAATTGTCACATTGAGATAAATAAAAACATTCATAAATTGGATTGAATGCACAATGCAAACAACATTTGTAAATGTTTGTAAATTGAGGCACTGAATTAAAATTAAGCATTCAAGAATTCACTAAACTGTTGAATTAATCATGTAAATTATTAAATTAAATTTAGTGCATCAATTTACTGTTTTATAAACACTTTTTAGGCATTGTGTGTTAAATTAAAAGAAAACATTCAGTATGCATTAAATTGTTGCATTGAATAAAAAATTCATATGAAATTTTATTTACTTAATTTAATTGATACATTTGAATTTAGATAAACCATTCTTATAAATAATAGCATTCAATTAATTAAAAAAAATACGTTTGCATATTTTTATGTAAATTTATGCACTGAATTAAAATTCAAGAAATCATGTAAACTGTTGAATTGAATCATTATGTAAATTATTTAATTTAATTCAGTGCATCAATTTGCATTAATTTACTGTTTTGCAAATGTTTTATGCATCGCGTGCTGAATTAAAAGAAAACAGTCAGCATGCATTAAATTGTTGCATTAAAAAATTAATTGCATCTGTGTGAAATTATATTTACAAAAATGTATGTTTGAATTTAGTTAAACCATTCTTATATAAGTCATAGCTTTAAATTAATTTTAAAACATTCTTAATTATTTTTTTCCCTCTGTAAAATCATTGAAGGTTAAACATTTTTGCTTGTGTTTTATAAATGAGGCCCTGTTATGTTTATTTTGGAATGCAGTAAAAGTAAAATTTTCGTTTCTTGATCGCTATGCTTCTTTATATCAAATGAAGATGGAGAAAAAATGGAGATAACTTTTAGTCTGGAGAAACGCTCCGGCATAACATGATGTTCTAGAACGTTTAAAAAAACTTATTCTAAGCATGTACATTGAGATGAAACTAGAACCTGTTGTTTAAGGACAGGCTTGGCCTTTTCATCCTGATCTTTAATCACATGACTGAATGAGTCTGGACGCTTGCATGTAATCAGATGTAGTTGAGCTTCTTAACCTGTAAATAGTTGCATATCACATTATTATAGCAGAAGTTTTATCGTCAAATCGTGCAATGATCGTTCTGGTTTGTTTTCAGTCATGTATCGCTCTGCTTTTGTTTGTCCCGTCACCTGTAATTGGTTTCTATTCTATATTTGTGATTTTTAACAGTTGCTTTTGTACTAAGTAAATTAGCTTTAAATTAAGCCTGTTCAGGCTTTAAAAAAATCCTGAAAGATTTCAGTATTAATTTTCAGTTGTTTAAAGAGCTTTAAAACATGATTTAAATGGGGCAGAATTCAGAAGACAATATTTGGACCAGTACAAATGAGAAATTAAATCACTGATGCATTAAAATATATAAAAATGTTATTAAAATTGCTCACATTGATTTAAAGCATCAGTTCATCTCCGCTATGAAATGCACTTTTGTCATTTGAATCTGAATGTGAATGAATCTCCTGCTCCTGCCACATGACCTCTGTCGAACTGTGAAAATAACTGACTTCACCTCACTGTGATTCTAATTAACTGTTAATTCATGCACAAACTAACACTGTTTCCACTTTCATCCTGCATTTCGCAAAAGGAGTGAATCTGTCCTTGTTATTCTCTTGCTGGAGAGTTCCAATTTCTGTAGGCTTCTGTCTGTGACCTGCAGTTACTTATTGTCATGAAAGCAGTATTGTGTAATATTATGTAATAAAAATCAAGTTATGGAAAATCTGAGCGTTTTGAGTCTTTTTGTGCACATCCACTTTAAGTTAACGCGAGTTGTCCAAAGCACAACAAACCTTGTAACCTCAGTCATGACTGAAAGAAATGTGCCAAGAAACATCTTCCAAAATAAAGCACTGATTACTTTTATTATGTAATGAACAAAGGAAAATGACTCTCAGTGAAATGTTGCATTAGTATCCGTTTGCAAAATTAGACCTGTTTAATTTAACCATCAGTGGTTAAATTTATGGATTGAAAGTCATTTTAAAAAGATTATAGAAAATTAATAATTATAGAAAAATAATAATACTAAAAAAATGTTTGTATTAAACACTCTTAAAGGAATAGTTCAACCAAAAATGAAAATTTACTAATCTTCAGGCCATCCAAGAGGCACACGAGTTTGTTTGTTCATGGGAACAGATTTGGAGAAATGTAGCATTACATCACTTGCTCACCAATGGATCGTCTGCAGTGAATGGGTGCCGTCAGAACGAGAGTCCAGCTGATAAAAACATCACAATAATCCACAAGTAATTCACACGACTCCAGTCCATGAAGTGAAAAGCTGCATGTTTGTAATAAAAAAACAATTAAGACATTTTTTACTTAAAACTGTTGAGTCCTCTATCCATAATATGCTTTCTCCAGTGAAAAAGTTGTCTCGTCTGAATCAGGAGAGAAATATGCACTGATCAAGCACTGTTCACAAGTGAAAATAGTCCAAAACAGATCTAAACAAATATGTGGGTGAATTTTGATGTGGGAGGACAACAGGGGATGGACTTTTTCAGTGGAGGAAGCGATATTATTGATTATAGACTCGTATTTTGGCCGGAAGCCATTTAAACCGCCTTAATAATGGATTTGTTTCTTACAAACACACAGCCTTTTACTTCACAAGATGTTAATTGATGGACTGGAGTGGTGTGGATTACTGTCATGTTTTTATCAGCTGTTTGGACTCTCATTCTGACGGCACCCATTCACTGCAGAGGATCCACTGGTGAGCAACTGATGTAATGCTACATTTCTCCAAATTTATTCCCATGAACAAACAAACTCATCTACATCTTGCATGTCCAGAGGGTACATTACATTTTAGGCAATTTTTAATTTTGGGGTGAACTATTCCTTTAAAAATATAGTTTAAAGGGTTCATATGATGTTGCTAAAAAGAACATGTGTTTATGCGGTTTAAGGTTCAAAAAACACATTTTCCACATACTGTACATTATTGTTTCTCCTCTATGCCCCGCCTTCCTGAAACGCCTCGAATTTTACAAAGCTCATCGGTCTGAAAAGCAAGGTGTGCTCTGATTGGCCAGCTATCCAGTGCGTTGTGATTGGCCGAATTCCTCAAGCCAAAGTAGTTTCGCATTCACAACAAAACACAGCGTCTCCACGACATGGCGGCGGCGGCAACAACAAAATTACAGCGAGAATAAAAGTTACGCCTTCTTTCTTTGCGTGAACATTTGGGTGGCGTTATGCAAATCTTCCCACATCGTGATGTAGATATGTGGGGGCGTGTTAGAAAGAGCTGTTTTAGGAGGGCGTGGTTGACTTAACTTTTATAAAGAATATCTCTTTGGATTTGAGACTTTAGTCTTTGCAACTTTACAGATCTTCTTTATGCACCAAGAGCTTGTAACACTCCAAAGAGAAAGGAAAAATTGAAATCTCGCATCATATGACCCCTTTAAATATAATCCACAAGCTGCCTGCAGATGCGTGTATTTAAGTGCTAGAAGAGCAATGCAGCTGAAATGAAAAGCAATGAAGTGTCTTGTGTGAAACCTCAAATGTTTGTGACACAATTGTGAAATTAGTTTAACTTGCAGCACTGGAGAGACAGCAAGCGATTTGGTCAGATCCATGCATGCGATTTATATGAATGTGAGCTTTCAGAATAACTATTTGAATTTGTTTGTATGTGAAATGTATAGTAGCTTTAACCTGCAATAAAACTTATGTTTATTAAAAAAAAGACGTTTTAATGCTGTTATTTCCATGCACCAATTTTGCAGTGTCTGTCTTAAATCTGTCCTTCAAACTTCTGCCTTCTGTATGGTTTCAGATGAATTTTGTTATTTGTTGATCCCAAACGCTTGTGTGTGATAAGGCAGCCATTGCTCTGTAATTCGGCTGAAGAATCACAGGTTGTTGGCCTGTATGATCTGCTGTAGGATGCTGTCTACATCAGTTGTGTCGTAGCTGATTCCCTGCATATCCAGGCTCGGTAGGATGGAAGACAATAATGCAACCACATCCTGACGGATAGACCGCAACCTCTCCAGCGTCACACTGCTGTCAGAGTGAAATGACAAAGACAGGTTCATATTTGTGTATATATATATATATATCTACAAATACAGATACATAAAACACACAGTAGCATTTATTTGATTAAAAAAAACTGTAAAAATTGTGAAATATTACTAATATATAATAATGTTTACTATTTGAATAGATTTTAAAATGTAATTTATTCCTGTGATGGTAAAGCTGAATTTTCAGCATCATTACTCCAGTCTTCAGTGTCAACATGATCCTTCAGAAATCATTCTAATATGCTGATTTGCTGCTCAAGAAACATTTCTGATTATGATCAATGTCGAAAACAGATGTGCTGCTTAATATTTTTGTGGAAAATGTGATGCATATGAAAAAAGCATTTATTTGAAATGAAAATCTCTTGCAATATTATAAATGTATTTACTGTCACTTTTGATCAATTTAATGCATTTGTGCTGAATAAAAAAATAAAATTGTCCTTCAAAAAACTATATCTGTAATATATAAAATATATATAGATGTATAAAATCAAATATTTAAAAAGAAAAAAAGACAAGTAATAAAATATAATAAAAATGTAAAATAATGGGTTCTTTTAGCTATTTTGTCCAGCTGTAATCAGACACAACTATCACTTTTCATCGATTTAATGCATACTTGCTGAATAAAAGTATTGATTGCTTTAAAAAACATATCGTATTGATATATAAACTATATACACTACCAGTCAAAAGTTTGGGATCAGAATGATTTTTAATGTTTTTTACAGGAGTTTCTTATGCTCATCAAGGCTGCATTTATTTGATCAAAAATACAGGAAAAAATGTAATACTGTGAAATATTATTATGATGTAAAATAACGTTTTTCTATTTTAATATACATTAAAATCTAATTGATTCCTGTGATGCAAAGCTGAATTTTCAGCATCATTACTCCAGTCTTCAGTGTCACATGATCCTTCAGAAATCATTCTAATATGCTGATTTATTATCAGTGTTTGAAACTGTTGTGCTGCTTAATATTTTTTTGGTACCTGTGATACTTTTTTCAGGATACTTTGATGAATAAAAAGTTAAAAAGAAAAGCATTTATTTAAAATAGAAATATTTTCTAACAATATACACTACAGTTCAAAAGTTTGGGGTCAGTACATTTTTATTCTTTCTTTTTTTGAAAGAAATTCAAAC